AAATATTGATATGCCTTTTGGTGTAATGGTTGAAATTTCATTAAGAAACTCCATAGTTAAGTGTGTTCATTCCAGAGCAATTTTGAGATGGGTGACCTTATACATCACATTGTGAGGCTCTTAGACCAAAGCGGACAATATCTCGATAGTTAACAGTTTGGATTGTTATACGAGCACATATACCCAACAGCAAGGTAAAGTCTTCTTAATATTTTGGAGAAAGTGGTGATTTTTTAAGCTGCACGTCGGTGGTGACGGTGGTTGTTAGTGGCAATAACTAATGGTGGTCTTCAGTGATGGCTAGAAAATGCAAGATAGTTCGCACTAGTTCTCTCTTCTCTTTTTTCCTCCTCCTTCATGAGAAGAATGAGGGCTTATTTATAGATTTTTTGGGAGTAGAATACTTCGTAAATATGAAGAAAATCTAAGGTAAATTAGGAGGTCTCCATCGAACGGTCCCTATTGATTCTTTTGATCATAGAGCTTTCATCAAGCATTTAAGTGTCTTAATGGTGTCAGAATTAAATGATCTTAGGCTTGCTGGATTCGTCTCGTTGAGTCATTCAATTTGATTATAAATATACCATATTAAAATTTGATTGGTTATGAAATTAATGTTTGTAAGCTTTCAAGTATGCTGCAACTCCTTGATTTGAACCCCTTCGGACTCAGATCGGACCAATTTTGGTGTCATCGGGGTTGTCTTGTTGAAACGTTTGTTTAATTGTAAGTTTGTTGAGATTGGAGTTCGAATGGTCATAAATTAAATTTTGAAGGTTTCTAATTTAAATATGCCTCAAGATTTGTGCCATATCAATGTGATTTTTGGTGATTTATCAATATGCTTATTTGAATTTTATTTTAATCTTATTAGAATATATATTTGAACCTTGCTCGAACACATGTTCTAAGTTTTATTATGCCACAATAAGGTTTGAACAGTATTAGGATATTGTTCAAACCTTACTTAGCTTACAACAACAACAATAATAACATCAAGTCTTTATCACACTACATAGGGTCAGCTATATGAATTCTTTTTTCTTTATTATGCCCTATTAAGATTCAAATTCTTATTTAAATATAATAAAAAAGCATAATTCTAATATTTTATAATCAATTCTTTTTAGGTCTACATCTACCTTTTTTAACATAGAACAGATCTAATGCATTCTACTCTCCTAACTGGATCATCAAAATGTCGACATATTTATGTGACCAAAACATTTAAAGTAACTCTCTCCAATCTTATCTGCCACTGGAGCTACTACAACCTTTTCAAAATGTGAAACTACTCATCAACCTGAACATTCTCATCTATGCAATACTTAATTTTATGCTTCTTTTTAAATGACTAGCATTCTGAGCCATAACGCATTGCAAGCCTCACCACCATCTTATAAAATAATTCTTTAAATTTTGAGGGGTTCTTTCCTATCACACAACAAACCTTACTTAGCTTGCGCGGACAAAATTCAAAGTATGTTCTAACATATTTCAAATAAAGTTTAAATAATATTCAAATCATATTCGATCTTGATTCAACAATGCTCGAAATAGATTTGCATCATATCATGCATGATTTGAACAAAGCTCACACATGCAATCAAACCTCAATTAAACTTGATAGAAGGCTTGCTTGTATTAGAAAATGGATCCAAAGATTGATGGTGTTAAAAAATATTTTTCAAGAATATCTTATAGATCTTATATGTTAAATTACTAAGACTAATAAGAACTATTTTATCTTAAAGATAGTTGTGATGTATCAATTTAGAAAAGAATTTTTTAAAAGCTATTTGAACTTATGTAAGAGTTGATGAAGGTGATGTTATAAACATACAAGTGCAAGGAATTTTAATTACATAATTAACAATTCAATTTTTATAATCGATTAAAACATAGAGAATAGATGAAAATAATAGACAAAAATATATTTTATAATATATTAAAAGAAAAAATAATATTTTTTTTTAATTATTACCAGTTTGAGAGATTTTTTCTGCTATTTAAAGTAGATAACATATGATTTCTAATATATGTTTTCCATAAATATAAGCCACACGATTAAATTACATCTCAAGGTCTCGAATAAAATAATAATAAATAATTTTATAACTTCAAATTTTGATAGAATTCAAACTTTATTTTCAAGATTTTCGACTGATTTAAGATATTTCAGTAAAGACACTCACAAAAATTTGAAGCTTTTTTGGAGATATTTTTAATTTTTAATAATTTATTTAATCTTTAATTGATTAAATATAGAAAATCATGAAGGCATGCATTTTTTTTAATAAACATTAAAAGCTAATTTTAATTGAATGCAACTTCATTTCATATACTGAAATTGAAAGAAAATCTAAAACAACTCCAGGAACTACTTTTGCAGCTTAAGATGCCACATATTAACCTAAATTTATCCTGTTAAACTGCTTTCTAAAACAATTTTTTAATTCAAAATTTTGTTTAAAGCGTCTCTTCATATAATTTGTTGGGGCTAATCATCATCAAATGTATGAAGGAATGATAAACAAAACTAATCTGGAAATCAATTTTTAAGATTTTTTTTTTTTTTTGAATGGTAAGTGCTGGTGCATAAATTTCATATAAATAAAATTTAAATTTAAAAGTAACTTTTAAGGTCTTTATCAATTAAATAAACAGCAATCTTATACAACAAAAAAATAAGAGATTTAGGATTAATTTGATGGCTTATTAAAATTTTTCTTGTACTCACCCAAAAATTATTCTTAAAAATCTCAAATTTTTAAAAATGTTTTTTTTTTAGTATAAATTAAAATCTTAATCTGGAATATATATATTAAGAAAATTATAGCTGCTATATGATTATTTTTAATTAATAATCATTTATTAATGCATGTTAATGTCATATTACTTTTGTATCACATAATTTAATTTAGAAAAATTTACATACATACCAGTTTATGCCATCCTATTTACATATTTAATATTCAAAACTTTAATATTACATACATATCACTCTATATTACTTTAATATCAAATATACCACTCATATTTCCTTCCTACCACTCATATATTTCATTTCTACCACACATATGTGGTATGAAAATGAACTATAAGTGGTATATATGTAATATTAAAATTTTAGGTGTTAAACATATAAATAGAATAGTATAGAATGATAAATATGTAAATCTTCCCTTTAATTTATCACATGTCTTCAGAAAGCAATTCTATAATTTATTTGACATCACAGCAAAAATACAAAACAACAGAAGCAAAGTCAAACACAGACAATTATCAAACAAGGCCTTAGATGTGACATTGAATAAATATCTTTGTTCATTCCCTTTTGAAGATTTTGTCGTTACTTTTACATAGAAAATATGTTAACATAACTGTAAAAGTCTATGATTAGGTGAAGTGAGATCATTTTCACTACACCTTGTAGTTAACATCCGTTGCAAATGAATATTTTAAGATCATTTATTATCAGCTTGTTCAAACTCGTTACAAACTTTTCTATTTGTGTTCAAGTTTAATTCGTTTAAAATTTTTCATATTCAGTTTGTGTTTGATTCATTTCATGCTTATCGATCTTTAAACAAACTAATCTTCCCGACTTTCTATATCTTCATTAGCATAACAAATGAACCTCATCAAACCTACTTACAAATAATTATAATAAATTTTATCCACGAACGTATATAACAAGTGTTTTCAAGCTACAAAACAAGCACATTTAAGAATAAACTAGCTCAGAAATGATTCTTCTTATAAATAAGCTCGTTCATGAATACTTTAACAAACAATTCAATAACTATGAACATATATCTCTTGTTCAAGAATAAATTCATTCAAATGAAAGAGGATAATATAAAAATTAGAATTAATTTTTTATTAAAAAATCATTTATTATAATAACACTAAAATTATGCAAAAAAAATATCAAATAAAGATTAAAATCAATATTAAGAAATATATTTAATTCCAAACATTACTTTTAAACTAGCTTGCTCACGATCTTTGTATCAAACATAAATCAAATTTCTTAATGATCTTCTTCACGAACTTTAAATGATGTTTGTTTCATGAATATAAACAAGCCGAACACAATTGTTCATACTTGTTTAATATACCATCGAATATTTAAAAAAAAATGTTCAAACTTATTTGATTACTTAATAAAACGATTACAAACGAGTTATAATCAAACCAAGTCACAAGTATTTTATTAAAGACCAATTCATTTGCAGCCCTATTTATCCTCTTGTTGGCTATAAGCCTATAACATCTCAAAATAGGCAAGCTTTATAATTTCCAATTATGTCTTATACCTCATACATAATCATCAATCTCCATTCATACTTGGTTAAAGCAACAACAACAAACTATGTAACTATGTAACTCACCTTGATCTGTTAGTTGGAAACTTTGACTATAAATCAAGAAATCTTGCGTTCAAATCTTATGTATAAGGCATCATGTTGATCCCTAATAGTAATGGTGAAGAAATGTCTAAATTGAAAAGCTTCAGAGGATGTTGAGCACTCAGCCTAGGCAAAAGGTTTCTCACAAACTTTTCCTCCTAACCATATGGCTCACAAATAGGGAGTTCAGCTTCAGCAATTGACTTGATAGATATTCTCTAGCTAATCCATCAATCCTCCTACAACCAATATGGCCTAATCTGGTATGCCATTTACATAATCTAAATTGTTAACAACAAGCATTCAATCAAAGGAAACAAAATAACATACAAAAGTAATATGATAAAACTATTAACAAGATATTAATACAAAATATTGTTCAAATATTAATCCAATTAATTATTTTCTAAGAAGCAGCATTTTTACAACTACAGCCAGAGTTACTCTACTTACTCCCAATTCTGTTTGCAATGCTCCTTTACCAAGTGGAAACTACAATAATCTACAAATCCTATTCTATCACTAGTCACATATATGGTTATTATTGTATGAATAATCAAGTCAGGTAAGGTCAGATATAGATACCTCATTGGACTAAGAATCCTTATCAAGCAAAGGAAAAGCTTCCCTCTGACTAACAATCATAGCACATCTTCATTGACTTGTTTTTTCTGCCCAACATGTTTGCCTTGATTGCAGTTGTAGTCTCTCACCTTGTCGGTAAGCTTTGCCTTGTCAAGCCTCAACCTATTGACATCCTCAAGCTCAAATTGGTGTGAAATGTCAGAGAAATTTCTCAATGTTGTCATATTCAACAAATACATGCAGCAATATACAAAATACAAAATAGCCGTATTCAAAGTAAAATTTTAAAATTCTTGAAGAATTTCATGAATAGAATGACTAAGGTTTCGTTTGAGACGGCTTTTTCATTGCTTCTTAAAGCAGCTTTATAATACAAAAGTTAAATTTTTTTTACTAAAAAACTGCTTTAAGAAGCAGCAAAAAAACCGTCCCAAATGAAGCCTAAATCAACTTGAACTTGAAGCCACAAATGGTGGTCGACTAGAAACTTGACACAAACGAATGATAAATAAGGGGGTGGGATCAAATACATATCATAGAGTATATTTGTCGTTAGTTAAATTTGATCAAGAACGATCTATCACAACTAGCTCATCTAGCAAAACAAGGCTCTCAGTCACTGCAATTTTTTCCAAACCTCTAACCTCCAAGGCTTGAAGATTATAGCTGAACAGAAGAGGACCAAAACATTTCATGCACATCCTTCTCTACACCTAGCTCATCCAAGGCTTAGATTTGGTCGGAGCTACATGTAATCATTACAATAAGAAAGAACTTAATCACAAGGAAAATTCAATATATAACAAAGAAAATATTTAAAACAATTGCCATCCGTAGTCATTTGCGTTGGGGCTTTAGGGCACCCATACCAGTATCTTAATACTAAACATGCCAGTTCAATCCTTTATCATGCAAATCAAATTATCCTCAAATCTGCAAAAATTATAACAAAGTCTAACCTGTCTAAAAATTTTCAAAGAAAAAAAAAGGAGCTATTGAGCTAGCAGGATCAAGTTGAATGAACCTTAAAGAGCTTGTCAACCAACATATATGCCTCCATATCTTCTTCTGCGAATAACAAATCATTCCTAATTCCTCACTAAAGTCAACTAATGCCGGACTCAGTAAAAGAAAATCAAAGACGCAAACAGTTTTAAAAATATAAAATGAAATGACACAACCCAGACTCATCACAAATCACAGTCCTTTCCAGATAATGATATTCTCAAACCAAAAAAAAAAAAACAGAAGCAATAATCAATTAAACAAAGAAAACAGAAATAAAAAAAAAAGTAAAAAAAAAAAAAAAAAAAAGTGAGAGCCGGATGCAGAGGTTTATCGACCAATTCCCGCTTTGCACCCTCGCCACCTTACCTGTCCAATCATTTTCCGAAATCAGAGACAACAAGGCAAGGAAAAGATCGATAAACCGCTGCGCCCAGCAATCACCCGAGCCAGAAAAAAAAAAAAACTATACAAAGAAGAAATAAAAGAAATTAAATCCCCTGCGAAGGATAGAGATTAGACATCCCATCAAGCTCGTCCCGGCTTCTTTACCTCCCATGACCCCAAAGTCGCCATGGCACGATTAGATCTCAGAATGGAAGAGAGAGAGGGGATTCCGATTTTGGAACCCTAGAAGAAGATGAAAACTAATAAATTTGTGTGCGATCATGGTGACGTTGGGTGCGTGCTTGGCTTAAATAGGCGAGAAATGATTGCGAAATTACGATATTGCCAATGCTGAATCGGACGGTCGGTTTCTTTTAGCGAAAAGGAGAAGCATCGGCTGCCTCTACTATGAGATCTTGCCGTCTTCGGCATCAATAGGAATCTTTTGATTGATTTGGAGAGAAAGATGCTGTGCAAAAAATGTGACAGATTTTGAGAGATGTGGACTTTGTAATTGATGTAAATTAACGGCTCTGATTTACTGTTAGTCTAAGTTGGCTTAATTTATTTTAATGGAGTTCATTAGGAGAAATTATTACATCCAGTCAAAAATCGAACGGTCCGAATGTATACCGAGCAATACCGAGTCCAAAATACCGATTTTTAGGTGACATAGTGCGTGGTTATTGATCTCTGAACGCATTCGGACACCGAATTTAATAATTGCTCATTCATTAGAGCACTGCCCATTCGATTTCTCCAAGTTATTTACTAAAAATTATTATGGGAGGTCATTGGACGGCTCCGAAGACAAATCACGTCACTTTTATTATGTATCGATGATGTGTACCAGGTGACGTGACGAGTTATGAACGCACAAAATAATTTTGCCTTATTCTCAGTCAATACGTTATATAAGTTTGAGCAAATGTAGAGGGTGTAGGTAAGTGAGCAAGCCAACTTGTGAGTCAGGTAGGGCAAAACTCAATCAATGGCTCATTAGCCGAGCTCGATGAACCAATGAGTCAAATTTAAACTAGTTCTTATTCAACTTGCTATATCACAAGCTAGCTCATTTAAAAAATATTGATATAAAATATATTTAGAATATGATAGTGATATATCATTAAAAAAATATCTTGATCGGGCATGAATATCGAAGCAAAATCAAATTAGAAACTTCAAAAAATAAATATGGGACTATCTGAACTATGCTTTTAGCAAACTTATAGTCGTATTGAACGTGTTGGAAATACAAACCCAACAACACCAAATTCTACTCAATCCGAGCCCAAATTAGTCTGAATCAAATACCCAAAGCAAACTTGGAAGGTTCAATTCATAATTTGGATTACCAAACAATTTTCAAACGTGACATGCTTATAGTCGAATCGAGTGGCTCAACTAGATGAATCCAACGAGACTAAGATCGTTAAATTTTGATATCACTAAGACATTCAAATGCCCAGAAAATAGTCCATGATCAAGGGATTCAACATCGGCTGTCCATTCAAACTACTCTCAATTTATCCTTGATCTTCCTCCTATTTACTAGTAATGTCACTCTCATAAAATTATAAATATAACCCAAATTTCTCATGAGAGGGAACTCAAGCAAGAATATAAGAGAAGAAAAAGAAAGAAGAGAAGTGAGAAGAGAAACTTGAGTTCTCTTGCAACCAGACTCCTCGACCACTACCAGACTTCCACCTGGCAGCCGATCGACGACGAACTTCTATATGACACCAGAGTTTTTCCTGACTAACGACTGACGCCTGACGTCAAACTTCTGCTCGGCTTCCAACTAACGACGGAGTTCTGCCCGACCGACAATTGTCGCTAGACTTCTACCATCCGCTAACTAACGCTGGAGTTCTACCCAACCGCCGACTAACGCCGAACTTCTGCACGACCGCCGATTAACGTCAAAGTTCTACTCGACAATCGACTAACACCAAATTTCTGCCCGACCGTCAATTAAAGCTGGATTTCAATCCGACGGTTGATTATTATAATCTGATCATCCTCAATTTTAGGGACGAGATAGTCACTTGTAATCCAGTCAAATACTAGTGGAATTATTTAACCTGAGCGTCGGCCCTACTGGTTTTTCCCTTTTCCAGGGTCTTCCATATAAAATTATGGTGTTATTTTTTTCTTCTATTTGTGTGTTGAATATCCGTACAATGCTTAGATTAAAGTTTCTAACTCTATCTCCGCATATATTCTAGCCCGCAACAACTAGCATTTGAGATTTTAAGTGTAAAGTTGTTAAAAATATTTGAAAACTTATATTTCATTTTCATATATTTAGTAAATTATTATTTTTCTTCTAATTTCTTATTCTTTTTATCAATTTATTATAATAATAACTTGAATCATAATTATTTTATCTCTTTTATAATAAACAAGTTGGCTCGATCTTGTAGAATAAAGCTCGAGCTCAAACTCGATTACTTAATCCAGCTCAAGCTCAACCTAGAGATGACTCGAGCTCGACTTTACTTGTTTACAATTTTAAGGGCATGTGATTGTTTGAAGTTATGATATACAAGTATGAGAATATGGTTATAACATATAAATATAATATTTCTATATTATAAAAGTATAAGATAAATAAAAATAGGATATTTCTTTGGTCACCATTTATTTAAATGAATTGATTTAGATTATAAAATTCAAAAAATTGATTTGATCAGGTTATTTTTCAAATTGATTTAAACTTAATCAATTTTTATGTTGATCAATTCAATTTAATTTTAGATAAAAAAAATATAATTATTTTAATTATGAACTTGATTTTTTTTAATTTATGACATGTATTAAGAAAAAAATATTAGTTTGATTTGTGGAATAAATAATAGTCATAGTGATTTCTTATGACTTCTTTACTTCTAATTCATGGTTTTTATTAATTTAAATTTAAAGATATTAATATAATTTTATTTTTTATAAAATTTATAAAAAAAACAATTAAAAAAATTGATGAAATTAAAAATTACAAATAATAATCAAACTAACACTTCAACATTCGATACTAACTAACTAAATATGATAGGTTCAATTCGATTATCGAAACAAGGCACACCCTTATTTATATATTAAATAAATACAATTCAAATTGTAGAAATATAAATATTTATTTCTCATTAAAATATGAGAAATAAATCTTAGTAAATGTATTATCAAAATAATATTTCAATAATTGCTTTCAAAATTTAAATCATTTATTATTCTCAAATTCACTTTTTATTACTTCATTCTCATCATCACTATGTGCCCAACCCACGAACAATTATTAGGTCCGTTGATTAGATGTAGCTCTACATTCGGTCACCACTGAGATCGCGTCATGTGCTCTTACTCTTACCGCGCGGCCCGACGACTTGGCCCGGACCGGAACCCGGGAATGCTATGTTCGCGTATTGCTAGTATTACTCGGTATTGCTCGATATTGTTAGGTATTGCTTGGCAATAACAAGAAATACCGCTCTGAGAAGACCAATACCAAGCAATACCGAGTTTTTCTAGAAAAACTAGGTATTGCTCGTTATTTGTCTTCACATAATGGTATTTCTCATTATTGCCGAGCAAAATCGACAAATACCGAGTAATACCTAGCAATACTGGGTTGTCATGAATTTAAAAAATGCACGTGCGACATACCCACTATTCGTCGGGTCAGGTCCGCAGTTTTATGCCTACTACGTGGCGCGATCTAAGTGCCATCCGAACATAGCTCTACCTCCGTTCACCGGAACAAATAAAAGTTCCCAACCCACAACACGCTTGTCTAATACTTATTATCATTATATATTTAGGTTTCATTTTGGATAATTTTTTAATTACTTTCTAAAACATCTTTTTAGTATAAATAACTCCCAAATTATAATTTTTTATATAAAAAAACTACTTTGAAATTAGTAAAAAAATTGTCCCAAAAAAAAACCTTAATATAATACAATATGATATATTTGAGAGACATATTTGATGTCTGTCAGTCACATCATACACAAAATAAAATACAAATTTTTTCAAATTAAAATTTTTTTAGTCATCACAGCTAAAGCTACGACGAAGATGGTTGTTCACATATAGCCACATCTTGTCCACATGTCTGAAATAAATAAATCATTGGCTGTTTATCATCTCTAAATGTACCCTCTTTTACAGCCTTTCAAATGATTAATTATTATGACGCCAAACATCATCTGGAGACCAATCAAAATAAGATACATCACCTCTTTGCCCAGTACCACGGCTCAATACTGCTTGGTACTGCTCAATATCGCGACTTAGTACGAATGACGTGAGGCATTCTAATTGGTCTCCAGATTACATTTTGCATCCAAACTCCGCACAAAATAATTTCTTTCTTTCCAACACTATAAATAAGATATTGAAAGACATTTTTTGAGAATTTTATGATATTTTCACCTTTAAAGATATTAGAGGATTCTAATGCTCATCTAATTTAGGTAGCTCATCTTCTTGTATTTATTGGATTTAGATTTCTCCGTAGGCTTACTGTCTAACCTAGCTAGGCAAATAGGACAAGAAATAAAATTTAAAATAAATAAATAAAAAAAACACTTCCAATTTGCATGCATAAAATAAAAAATTAGAATTTTTTTTTTCCATTGAATCAAATTTCCTTGAATTCAAAATCCATATATTTCTCCCATTTAATATTCTAAAAACTTATGAAATATTTTTATATTCATACTCGATTGAAATTTAAGTTTTATTTGGGACGGCTTGTCTTACAGTGAGCCACTTTTTAATACAAATTTTTCTAATTCAAAAAAATAAAAATTTTATATTAAAAAATTACTTGATAAAATAATAAAAAATTTATCCCAAACAAAATCTTAAATACTTAAATTTAGATAAATATAATTCATCAAAATAAAAAAATATATGAACCTAATTTAAAAAAAGGACCACCTTACCTGCACAGCATTTAAAACATAAAAACAAAATATATTGAATAAAAAATTCTTACATAACTTATAGATGACTTGAAAAAATCTAAATCAGCCTGTTGCCTCTTCATTCTTCTTTAGTCTCAATCTGCCAAGAAACCAACCCTTCACAGAAAAATGATTAAACGGGAATAGCATATAGGACGAGCTACTTATGAAGTGCACAGTGCCACAGTTAGTAAAGAGTTGAACCCTAAACTATATGCAAATTTCTCCAATTCAAAGGTATGGATAGTTTTTTCAACTGATGCACGGCAAGTTGAAGGACGGGACCTCCACAAAGATACTACTAAATAGTTGTAACTGCCGAAGAGCAGGAAATCAGCAGAGAAAATTATTAGGTCCGGTCATCGGACGTAGAGATACCTGATACGTCCGGACACCAATAAAATATTAACATGTGGAATGTACACGTGTCCGTGAAATTTTAAGTCAAGCATATCAAAAGCGCAGATAAAACTAGTCAAAGCGCAGTCAAAACACATTCCACGAGATAAGTTTTAATTGGATGTTAGGTCCTGTGAATGGACCTAATAATTTTCCATGTAGGAGAACCAGATTCAGAGATCTTGACTATCGACCCCGCAAGCCACAGGAACCGAATCTAATTTAGGAACATCTACATGAACGGCTGCTGTAGTGCTACAGCAACCGCGTAAGCATTCTTCAGCAATGTGGCCACGCTGCAGGAACACTTTCATATTCCATCACACTAAGAAAAAAGAAAGAATTGATTAACAAGCAGTGGAGAAATATAGTTTAGTTTGGGACAGCTTTTTTATGGCCAAAGTAAATTTATAGTGCAAAAAAATTAATTTTTATACTAAAAAACTGTTTTAAGAAGCGTTAAGAAAGCCGTGCCAAACTAAACCTTAGTTATTACATACAACAATAAAGCGAAATTCTACAGTCACAAGCCACGAAGTAGGATATAACTACTCATAAGAAGCCCATTATACTTTCACAGCAAAATAGCAAGCTAAAACAATCTAATAATAGTACACAAAATCAATTAAAAAGTCAGGATGACAAGACATACGCTCATAGGAGAAAACATGTGAAATCTACAATTATACCCACCGTTGCTTGGTTTGGTTGGTGGGTGAGTACAGTTGGGAACCCTTAACCCGTGTTCGATTCTCCTCGAGCTGCAGTGCCTCTTAAGTTGGTTATAATCAAGTGCGGGTCAGGAGGTTTTTGGGGTGGCTGCATCTTCTAGATCAGTCGAGAATTTGTCCCGCCGCCAAACGCCCTTTCAAGGGTAGCAGCGGGTGGATACCCCGTTCCCAAAATTGAAAAAAAAATCCACAATGGTGTGTGTGTGTGTGTGGGGGGGGGGGGGGGGGGGGGGGGGGGGGGGGGGGTTCGAGCACAGGCTAGAAATCTTGTGACTAGCCTGCATCATCATGAATTATGTCGCAATCAAATCTTATCTATTAGGATTGCTTTTATCAACAACTATTATGCTTGTTTCATGCAATCATCACCAGCCATATTGTGCTCCAATGCTTTTTGACTTTGCATAAAATTAATCATAAGCATCATTAAGCTGTTTTGTTCTTAAAATCTCTGATATAATTCATCAACCTGTCATCCTTGAAACATGAAAGCTGATAAAATTTTTTTTGAAATACTGGAAGCCTCGAGTGATAATATAAAAACTAAACTTCTTTCAGGAAATGGCCTTGAAATTTCTGAAACTCAAGAAAGCTCTGCTTGATTGTTAGTAAATGCAATCAAGGAAAATAGAATAGGGCTTAAACAAGAAAGTGGATCTATATTTTTATGGAATTGTTATTCAGTCCACGAGTTGAATTAATTTCATTGACTTGCTATACCATCCAAAAAATGCAAATTACATTCGGCTAAGTACCATTAAAAAAGAAGAGGAAAATTGTTGCAAGATTTATTGAATGTTCACCACAATAACTAAGAGATAAATGAACATTTAAGACCATAATAAATAATCCTCATGAAGCAAATAATAACAATAAATAGGTGGGAAATACATGCAACTAACCTGTTGACAGCTTTTAATAAAATTAAAGTAACATTCACATATTTACACTCTTCAATAATCACAGCGGGAGCTGCAACAAGATCCTCTTTTGACCAAGCGACACTGCAAAGATAATACAGAACATATTTTTAATGAATATGCATATGAAAAAAAATAATTACAGGTTCAGCAGGAAATATAGAGGTCAAGCATTATATTAAGTTGCCCTTAGTATTCTGAAGCCATATTTGAAAAATGACAGTAAAACAATCATTTTCTCATCAAGAAAAGCGGAGAGAATTATGAAAGACAATAGGATTAATGTAATGAACTTTAAAAGCATCAGAATACTAGCATGAATGCTACCTTTTTAAAGTGAGTCCTCAATTGGAAAATCTTGTCAGCTGCTTCATTATCATTTTATCCAAGAAAGAGATAGAATGAAGTCTTTCTAACAGAATACTTACCCTACTTATTTCCACGGCTCCCTGTGACATTGGTTGCAAATAAACTGAAATATTTGAAAGCACAATACCGTACTATTTTGGAGTAGAAGTTCAAGAAATTAGAAAAACAGAAAAACAAGGAACCAAGCAAAATTGGATGTAGAAATCAAAATGGAAAAGCAGATTTGAAAGAACCCTTCATTCGATTAAATCGGCTCAAAGTTCAGCTTCTTTTACAAAGATTCAATTCTGTATGTTGTATAAATCTTTTGAACTAAGGGTGGCTTGCCACTGCCAATTCGAATTTTGCCCATCAGGATCATATGACATCTTCAGATGCACTACAAAAGAACCAAACAGCCAAACCAGCAACTATTTCTAGCAAAAAGCCCACATAACCAACGAATCACCTGGTCTTGGGCCAGCCACCCCCACCCCCCTTGTCAGTGGTCAGTCACACTATGTACATGAAGGCTGTAGCAGCCGATTTGCTCTACTCTTCTCTTCTGTATTCATAACTTTGCCGATGTTACTGGAGCAAGGCAGGAACCCTTCTGAGATTTTAAGAAGGTGCCACCGCATAAGTCTCAATCAAATTCAAAACTTTTTCACAATATTTCACTAGCAACATTAGGACCCTACTTCCAAATCTTTCCTCTTCCTTCCCGTCCTGCTTATTAGCCGTTGGCCATCTGGATCCAAACTTTCTGGGGGATCCTTGTTATAGATGATAGAGTCATCCAAAGCATATAAACGAAGAGCAAGAGATGACAATGTGGCTGTCCTTGCTGCAGCAGTAAGGGAAGACCAGTACCACCATCCATTTTTTAAATAGTCAGCTTTGATCATGTCTTCAAACAAGACAGTAGCTTGAACCAACTACAAAAGACAATAGATATACTTGAAGTTCATGAAATTTTCGACTTATGAGTTAAAGAATGCTAAATGAGATCCCGTTCATTAGAAAAATATTCTAAGGTAAATAAATGCAGCAATATGATCAGCTAAAACCAACAATCCCTCGTTTATACAGAAAACGAAAAAAAAAATTAAAAATTTGTGGGAAAGGTACTAAAGAAACCTAGTTGTGCTGCCAATATGACAATAAATGTACCCACTTTTAGGTCAACAAGCAAGCATCAAGATCCACAACTATAATATAATTCAGTTTTTAAATATGTTCTTTTCTGAAGAAAGCTAGACATTAGCTTTCTTATACCCTAGCATAAATTAGCAAATCTAGCATAAATTAGAAAATCTTGTTGTAAAAAATAGCTTCCTATTATAAAAATTTCTAGAAATCATTAACCAAACGAAAATGTGGTTGTACTCTAAAAAGCAAAGTAATGAGAAAGCTGCCTCAAACAAACACTTAATCACAAAATAAAAATTAATTCTTTAAATCAATCAAAACCTTACAAACAAACAAAACTCTAGAAATTATGCAATAATATTTTCAAAATTTTGCTCTAATAATGTATTCTTCATCAAACATATTACGCATATACATTTTAATATAATAGTGTGGCTGAGCACAAAAATCGTCATCAGCTTAATGTTGTTCGTAATTTAATACTTCAAATAGGGAATGCAACCTTGATTGCTTTCTATCACATTGATTAGTTTTCGTCCCCTCGATAAACTTTCATCTCTTCTAATTCCAACCAACCTATGTTTTCTCAACCACCACGGATCTTTAGTTCCCTGCTTTTTTCATGCATTTCAATCGTCAAAAAACATTCTTAGTGCCATTCTATATATATTTCTCGAATATTCTAACACATAAAATGGTCATCCTATTACTCAACATTTATATATTTCAAATGATGTTATTTTCATGAGGCCATTTCATTTTTTTCTCCTCCTTTTCCTCCTCCGAGTCATCTCCACCTCCAATTACTCTACTTACAAAAGCTCCTCTTTCTACATCTACAACAATACAGGTTTACGCTCGACAAACCTAACTTCCTTATATAGCAACACCTCCATCCATTATTAGATTCAACTAAGAAAAAGCACTTGCTAATGAATTCTCTAATATCTACAAACTGATTACCTTATGAAAAGTTAAAAAATAATTTATAACTCATCCTATACATTCTTATATGACATTTTACAATCTTCTCTTCTTTCATACAATTTCCTTATCTCCATAACCAAATATATTCCTAGTACATATCGAAAAATACTGCAAAATCCTCTCTAAAACTAGGATATGTGATGTAAGCAAGGAATGGGTCAAAACAAGTTGAGTTGAAAAATTTTGTAAGTTCTACTTGAATCAGCTCATTAATGAGCCTCTTCTTATGTTTCAAGCTCATAAATGCTTTCCTCTACAAGATATCAGCTCATTAATATCTAGTAGAGAGCCTTTTTAGCTCATAAATTGAGGTTCATTTCCCCATTTGTTGTCCTTTTGGTTCCCGTGGATGGTTTCTTGGTTTTCCGTGCCTTGGCTCCTTGGTTTACTCGGTTGGCTGCTGGTTTTCCGTGCTGGGTGGCCTTTCCCGTGCCTTTGTGCTTCGATTCCATGCGGGCCTCCTTGGTTCTTGCGGCTGACTCTTCGGGTTCCGCCTGGGCTGTTTTCCCGTGACTTTTTTGGGGCTTTTCCGCGGCTTTGGTGCTTTGTTTCCTGGAGTTGACTATTGGCTTTTCATATTCCCTATTTAAATAAGCTTTTAAATTAATATTGTGGCTATTTGTATTCCCCTCTCATGCCTATATATAGGGATGTTTTGTGTATGTAATGTTAAGTGAAAATGTGATTTTTGGAAGCTATAACATGCAGGTTTGCTTGGAAAAGCTTGCGAGCTTGTTCCATTCTCCTTCTCATCTCCTCTATGGAAATCTTGCGAGCTCTTTCCACCATTCTTCTCGGCTTCTAACCTCTTTCGTCTCTCCGCAAGTATCCACCTCACCTGTATCCATCTTCTAATGGATGAAAGCTTCTTTAGGTGTTTGTTTTGAAGTCATAAATTTAACAAACATTTGTAAGCGTCAAAGTTTGTAAGAGTCCTTGTTTGTAAGTCCTTTTATAATATTAAAGTTGTGTTTTGTTTTGTTAGTTATATTTTGTCAAATTTTTGAGTATTTTATGTCTTTCTATCATCCTAGAAAGAGTCTTTGTTTGTTGTGATAAAAAATTTGGGTCCCTTCCCAAATTTTTTATTGCATTAATTTTGTATCAGAGCAAGTTAGAAAGTCCTAGGTTTATAAGTTGGTTTGTCAAGTCAAGTCTTATTGTGTAAATCTTGTAAGTCTTGTAAGTCTTGTGAGTCTTATGTGTAAGTTTTGTTTTGAGTGATGTTGATTCTTGGTGTGTCATGATAGTTGTGCGTCTTTCTAGGTTTGTGTCTTAAGTCTTGTGCCTTTCTAAGTCAAGTTAAATAAACATCCAGTGGAAAGCAAGCGAGAAAGTAAACCAATGGACCTCGCCACAAGAAAGTTCTTTTGACCCAATTCAGATCAAGCTTTTCAAGATTCAAGTGCAGCTACATTCAAGTGCCGAAAATTTTGAAGCAAAAAAAATTCAAGAATTGGATGCACCGTCCTTGCCTCCTCCGAAGAAAGCAAAAGCTAACTCATCGGGAGATGAGTTCTCAAGAAGGGGAGTCTGATGTAGGCAAGGAATGGGTCAAAACAAGTTGACTTGAAACATTTTGTAAGTTCTACTTGAATCAACTCATTAATGAGCCTCTTCTTATGTTTCAAGCTCATAAATCTTTCCTCTACTAGATATCAGCTCATTAATGTCTAGTAGAGAGCCTTTTTAGCTCATAAATTGAGGTTCATTTCCCCATTTGTTGTCCTTTTGGTTCCCGTGGATGGTTTCTTGGTTTTTCGTGCCTTGGCTCCTTGGTTTCCCCGGTTGGCTGCTGGTTTTCCGTGCTGGGTGGCCTTTCTCGTGCCTTTGTGCTTCGATTCCATGCGGGCCTCCTTGGTTCTTGCGGCTGCCTCTTCGGGTTCCGCCTGGGCTGTTTTCCCGTGACTTTTTGGGGGCTTTTCCGCGGCTTTGGTGCTTTGTTTCCTGGAGTTGACTATTGGCTTTTCATATTCCCTATTTAAATAAGCTTTTAAATTAATATTGTGGCTATTTGTATTCCCCTCTCATGCCTATATATAGGGATGTTTTGTGTATGTAATGTTAAGTGAAAATGTGATTTTTGGAAGCTATAACATGCAGGTTTGCTTGGAAAAGCTTGCGAGCTTGTTCCATTCTCCTTCTCATCTCCTCTATGGAAATCTTGCGAGCTCTTTCCACCATTCTTCTCGGCTTCTAACCTCTTTCGTCTCTCCGCAAGTATCCACCTCACCTGTATCCATCTTCTAATGGATGAAAGCTTCTTTAGGTGTTTGTTTTGAAGTCATAAATTTGTCAAACGTTTGTAAGCGTCAAAGTTTGTAAGAGTCCTTGTTTGTAAGTTCTTTTATAATATTAAAGTTGTGTTTTGTTTTGTTAGTTATATTTTGACAAGTTTTTGAGTATTTTATGTCTTTCTACATCCTAGAAAGAGTCTTTGTTTGTTGTGATCAAAAATTTGGGAAGACCCAAATTTTTTATTGCATTAATATGGATGGTAAGATGAGTGTTATATTTACACATAAACAAGGGATTTGATTACCTTTTTCTTTAGGGTTATACCCATTTCTTGTTGATGGGTCTTTATAGTCAAATTTGATCTTGATGATTCAATCAATCAATAGAAAGCTTGGTTGGTTGCCAAAGAGTTCATTTAGGTCTATGAAATAAATAGTTTTGACAGCTTATCCATAGTTGTTGGGTATAACTCTCTTGATTCTCCTCTCAATAGACATCAATGAATTCTATTATAAATGGCTGAGCAATGTATTCTTTTATGGCGATCTACTGGAAGCCATTTAGGTGATTCAACTTCCTGGATATGAATGTGCAAATACCTATCAAAGGTAAGTAAGTACATCCTAAACATATAAAATGCGGTTAATCCATTTGTGAACTAAGCTATTAGTGCAAAATTTGGTGAGTACAACCAACTATCGTTAAGAATTTCATCTTTGAACAAAAAAACAAGCAAAAGAGGCAAAATACCACAGAGAAATTTTACCCAAAAAAATAGTTTTTGTAATTGGAACATATTTTGTTAAACCTCTCATAAGTACCATATTCTAACTTTTCTCTAGTGAATATACAACAATAGGTTCCATTGAATGAATAATCGATCCAGATCCCAAAAACAATAAAGCTTTAGAATAGCCATGGGTGATCAGATCAAATAAAGCAGCTCGATAAAAACCTATACCTAGAGCTAACATGAGAAAATTTAATTGAGACATTGTAGAATAAGTTAATTTTAGGGGACAAATCATGTTTGTTTACTTGGGAAGGCTATATATGGCCTTAAACAAAGTTCAAAGGCATGGTTTAATATATTATAAATGGCTCCTAGTTGAAATTAGCTTTCACAATAGGACCACAGATCATTCTTTGTCAAACATATTACCTTAAGCTCATCATACTTGTTATTTATGTTGATGACATCTTGCTCACTAGAAGTGATCATAATTCATCTAAGGTAAAACCGTAAATTAATAACTTAAAAGGTATTTCATCACCAAAGAAATAGAGTAACCGAAGTAATTTTCTTGAATTTAAAAATGCAAAAAGGGTAACATTATCTCAAAGGAAGTATGCTACTAACTTGCTGAAAAAGTGATCTTCTTGATTTCTTAATAATGAAGAGCAACTAGATGACTATCAGTATCGAAGATTAGTTGACAAGATGTTTTATTTGAGTGTTGATAGTTTGATATTTCATTCACTATTGAATTTTTTAGCCAACACATGCAAAATACAAAACAATATTTTGCAAAATAAATATGCAAATTCCTAGGTAACTTAAAAAGCCTATCAAAAAAGGGTTGCATACTAAGAATGAATACTTTAAAAATGAAGCTTTGATGCTATCAAGAATTTATGTACTTTTTATTTTATTTGAACAATAGTATATTTTGTTTTCTTTTCTTTTTTAGCTATCCAATGATGGGAAAGCATCCAATGATCATGGTAGGTAGTGCATATGGCTTGGTAGACCTTTGGTTTGCTGGCTCGATTGGTCTTCCGCCTGTTTGCTGGTGCCTTGGTTCCGTGAGCTGCTGGGTTGATTTTCCGAAAAGGGCTTTTGGAAATCCTATGGAAAATAATGCTTGGGATGATGTGTGCATTCATAAAGGTGGCTTTTGGCATTCCTTTTCTTTGCCTATAAAAATGAGATGATGTTGTGTGGAAAAGGCAGTTGATATTTGTGAGCATATTTGCTATTAACCTGCGGGTTTATTCGGAAATCCTGCGGGCTCTTTCCAACCTTCTTTTCTCATCCCCTCCGGAAATCCTGCGGGCTCTTTCCACCCTTTCTTCTTGGGCTTCTAACATCTTTCGTCTCTCCGCAAGTGCCACTCCATCTGTATCCTTCTTCTCAACAGTGAAGCAACTTTAGGGTGTCGTGTCTTGGTTGATTTGGAAGCATTTGGGACAGTCTTGCTGTGGTGGACCATCGGTTTGCTAGTTCTATGCACTTTACTTATTTAACCTACAAATTCGATGCATGTGAGGAACCCGCTCTGACGGTTGTCTGAGGATAGCGTCTTTTTAAGTTTCTTTATTTCTTTAAAATCTCCTAGCATCTTTTGTTGTGTTTGTCAAGTTTTGGGTCGTTTGCGTTTATCTAATAAAATTTGTTTTAAGTTCTACTCATTGTGTCAGTTTTCTTCTTGTGTGTCTATTGTGTTCAAGAAATATAGGGTCCCCTATATTCCTTGTCTACATCAAGCTTTCTCTGATGGCGATTATATTAGCTTTATTGAAGATAATAAGTCTACTTCGGGATGTTGTATTTTTACTTGATGAAGCCTTGTCATCAAGAAAAATAAGAAATAATCTTTAGTGGCCAATTCTATTGTTGCAATTGAATACAGAGTTATGACTCACTAAACGTATAAAATTATGTGGGTAAATACTATTTTAGGAAAGTTTAATTTTCTCTTTACTTAGCCTATGACACAATACAATGAAACCATACAGTCATCTATATTGCCCGCAATCATGTTTATCATGAATGAACTATACACATTGAAGTTGATTATCATTTCATATGGGATTCCATGCTTTACAAAAAGATTATTACTTTAATATTTCAAGTTGTGAATATATTGCAATTATCTTACAAAGGCCTTGAGAAGTCTATTTTTTTTTATTAATATAACAAGTTGGAGTTGAGATGTATATAAGATCTAGCATGAAGAGGGAGTGTTGGTATATTAAAAAGAGTAATATTCAGGAAAAATTATATTTAGAGAATATCCTAATAGGATGATATATTTTTATATCCACATAAATAGGAATATTCTCCTAATTATTTATTTCTTGATTGTGTTAATCTTATTTTTCTATTTATAGGTGAATATATTCGATCAATGGAAGATACACTAAATTTTAAGCTCACAATAATCTCGATTAAGGTTTTCATTGCCTAGCAAAACCAAGTTCATCACAACCAATCACAACCCTTGTTATGGCGTAGAGAGCATTAGATAGAGATTGTAAGCAATGAATTAACTTAGAACAAGGAATTGTGTACAAGTTATAGCGCTTACAGATAGTTGACAAAAATATGAGTGTATCAAATGCAAATTTAAAAAAATATGAAATAGATAATCATCCAACAATATTGATAAAAAAATAATTTCTACGTGCGATTAGTTTAATTATCTTGAATCTATTTAACTATAAAAGGGATATATATGATAGAATAATTCTAGAGTTGGTTAAAATGAAAAAATGACTGTAATAAGAAATATATTTGAGACTTAAATGGTAATTTCAAGGTGCAATTAGGTAACCCATGTTATATGGTTTACTGAGATTAATACAATATAGAAATAAAAAAATCACTTATAGCCAAGTTAAGTGTCGAAAAAATGGAACCATTAAGATGGTTGTGTGACAAAAAGATGCATAGATGATAAACAGAGTAATGATTAAATTAGAGATAGCACCTAATGAAGATAAGATAGTAAAAAATAAACTTAATTACTTAAACATGTACATTAGAGAGTAGAAGATATACTAAAAAGCAGATAAATAGAATTTTTGGAATGATCTAAAGGAGAAAAGATAGACACGAGGTAATATGGACAGAAAATATGCAAAAGATGTGGGCAATATAGATTAAAACCTTATGCAGCACCCAATAGTAATAAATGAAGAATGAGTCATAAAAACATTCAATAAGTTTTTAACAATAATTTATGCTGCACGCCCTATATCAAAACACTATAAATATAAGAACAATGCTAACCATAAATGCTAGCAGTTTAACAAACGATGAAATCGGGTGGTAAATAAGCTTTCAAGTTAGTATTTCAACAAAACCAGGAATGTCTCACAAATTATTAGTTTTCTGAAATATAGTACCACAACCATTTGACTATTACCATGTAAAACATCCACATCCTGCAGGATTTTTATGAATTGCCTTCATGTCCCAAGAACCATAAGATTCAATTTTTTAAATTAACAATTTCATAAAGAGACGGCAGAAATGGGCTGCAGGATAAATAAATAAAAGATAGTTACATTTCAAGATGCGCCTCACCTCAAATATTGATTCTGCTGACTTAACAAACATCCTCCATGCACATCTCCTGAAAAAGCACGCTTTTGAAGTTCTGATTGCTTCTTCAGGCAAAGCTGCATCCATATCAAGTAGATTCATCTTCAGACGCTTTACAACTTGAAATATCTTTCCAAACATAGGTCTTAATGATGGCTCGGGAATTGTGTAACTTCGAGAACCTTTTAAATTTTCTGATTTACCAAATGCATGGGATGAAGTGCTTTGAACCTCAGTATAACCGGATGCAGGCACATCATTTTGCAAAAAACACACGTCCTGATCATCAGCAGTCCCATTATGAAGCACTCCAGGGACGTTCCGGGGCCCTTTTTCAATATCATTGAGTGTCATAACATTATTAAAAGCTTCCATGTGATTTGAGATACCCTCATTTACAGAATCATTGGCAAGACTATTTTTATCAAGGACAAGTGTTGGGTCAAGGAATAGCTTGGCGCAACCTGGAATAAGGGAGGGAACCCCTTTTGAACCAATAAGACCAATCTCCTTAACCAACTCTTTGTTTGAATCATTTGTGATGAAACTTTTACTAACCTCGTCAAGGTCATATGGACATTTTTTCCTTTGAAAATTAACTAACTTCAAGCTAATGTCCAATTTTCCATTTTTAATTGACTCTGCATTGTCCAAACCATCATAATGCTCCTTCACCCTGGTGGCCTCCCATCTTACTCCTTTATTTTTTACTGGATCTTCACATTCTTTGCCTTCATCAGATGCAGGAATACTAGAAGTACACCTTCCATCATTATGCCCTTCAAGTTCTTGTGAGGTGGAAAAAGTCTGATGGCAGGAAATACAGTGGTGGCGAGAAGGCCATACGGGCTCCAGACACTCACATCTGTACATTCTATCATCATGACAAACTTTAGCCTTCTTCCCACGTCTTTTAGGAATTCCATTGCCTTCAGTCTCCGAAAAAGGACCATATTTTTTTTCAAGAATACTAGCAGCCTTTGTATTTAATGAGAAAGGAGCTACAAAATCTTCACAAATGGAAGATTTATTTGATGGCAGCTGAGATTCACGGGTAACGCAATTATGTTCCGGATAAAATCTAAGTCTTTGCCACGGTAAGATGCATTCCTTTAATTCTCTTTCTTTAGGTTCACTATCTCTTAACCAGCCAATAAGTTTTTCAAGTTCTGAATCAGATTCAAATATAACAATTGAGGATGAACCATATGCACTCGCATGCATATCATAGCCAGATGTGTCGTAACAATGAAACAAGCCTGATGGTGCCTTTCTCCTCAAAACTGAACCTCTTGAACCTAAATTTTGTGAACGCTTAGACTGAAGATACAACTCCTTAACTTGTCTCCTCTCCTGTGCTATCAGCATACTTCCATCTACAACCAGCCATGACCGTTTGCCAGGCCTCCCAATGATCCAATACAACTGATCAAGTGAATCCCTCCCCAAGAACTCCCTCCTCAAAGATGCCATCATAAGTTGTGATTCCATACTAGCAATAGACTCCTGCAACTGTGATATCTCTTTTTTCAAGGAATTGACCTCGAGGTCACAATTATCAGAATCAAATGTACTGAAATTAATATTCAAGACATTTCCTTGTAAAGTAGCATTTTGATGAAATGTGAGCGAGTTCTGCAATGGCATTTTCACCCCAAAACTGTTGGGCATTGTAACAGTATGGTCACTAAAAATTGTCCCGCCGTTATCAGGCAACAAACACTTCCCAAGAACAGCACCTGCATTTGACAAGTTTCCGTTCTTCTCAACATTGAAGATGTTTCTTTTATCTAAACTATCATTAACGGCATACATGTGCTCGCTATGTTCAATGTTTTTTATGATTTTTTCTGCTTCTTGATCATCTTTCCTGTTAGAAACATTTACTAACACCTTGCGCAATGGAAGCTCAACATCAGCTGCTGTTCCACAATCAATAATATTTGTGCTGCTTGGAGAACAGGTCTGAGACATATTACCATTTGAATGTTTAACATTGGCATTCTTTGAAAGCTGGTTCATTTGCAAGTTGGCATCAATTTGACCATTCTCCTCAAGGGAACTCTCTAACTGGATAGGTATAACTTTCACAGCAGGAATAGAGGAATAGTGCATTTTGTTACAAAAATTTTGTTGCTGCTCCATCAGTCTACCATGTGTTACAAGCATGGCAGATATTGCATCCTCCTTCACTGTACCTTCAACCCCAACAGATTTGCTTGTGTAGTCTTTCACAGTTCTCATTGCCAACATTTCCTCCTTTAATTTTAAATTTCTCCACTCAGCTGTGAGGGAACGCAGTTTCTGATGGAGATCATTTGACCGATCCGTACACTGCTCAAGGTGCTCACGAATAAGCAGAGAATTAAGTACTTCATCGCATAAAAACTTCAGTAAAAATACTCTCTGCAGTAAGAAAAGGATAAAATGTCAATATCATTCAGCTGAAAACATTAAATTTATTTCAGGATGTGAACAGGCATCATTTGCAGAACAGAGTAACAATATATTCAATCGTCATACAATCACAATAACATATAAATGCACTATTAGCATGACGTTAGCTCAAGCATATCAACAATCATTGAAATCTTTCATGCTAACCAAAGCTTCACATTTTCTTGAAGGTTGTGGAGTCTGATCTTGATTGTTGACTCAATTCCCTCGGGCAATCCCTTCCCTACTGCTAAAAAGTGAAATGTTTTCTAGGCTAAAGCAAATTAATTATTTTTCGTAACCACCCTTGCCTTTTATTTAAAGGATGTCATCTTCTGTAATTGTAACCAAATAATAGGTAGTTTAATCCATGAGGTCATCAGCATACAACAACAACAACAACATCAAGCCTTTGTCCCACTACGTGGGGTCGGCTACATAAATCCTTTTTCTCCATTGTCCTATTAGAAGTCAAATTCACGTTTAAATCTAATAAAGAAAGATCATTTCTAATATTTTCTAACCAAGTCTTTTAAGATAACCATCTACCATTCTTAACATAAGTCAAATCTAATACCTCTACTTTCCTAACCGGGTCATCGGAAGGCCTCCGTTTTATGTGATCAAACCATCTAAGACGACTCTCTCTAATCTTATCTTCCACGGGAGCAACTCCAAACTTTCACATATATCCTCATTTATGATCTCATCAACATAGGAGGATTAAATTTGAGATCACATAAATCTTTATCTTTTATGATCTTCTTGTGAGTCATACATGCTTTCCTTCACTTCGGTTCTCAAAACACCTTACTAGTAATTACTGAACTTTGTTTTGAAAAATTAGATACCGAAATTAAATTTTAGTTTCCTTATCCTCAACAGTTGACACCACGTTTTTTTATATATAATCATTTACAATGGCATTTTTCCAAGTTATTCCGTGCGTCTCTCATATTTAACAAAGTTGCTGTACTTGACTTGTGCTTTCTTTGATGTGCAACATCAAGCTCCAAGAAATAAATAAATAAAAACAAGATCTAAAAGAAATTTATTTAGTTTCCCTTTAATGACCACAATAATCCCTTACAAGAAACTAAGTAAGTGTTTCCTCAAAATTCCAAAATCTAACCATAATTATATAAGGCTATAAAAAGCAAATCATCCTGAACAATAGAAAACCTTGATTTAAAGCAAACCAATGATCATATAAAGTGAACTCAGTTCCAAGTAAAATTGAAATATCAAATATGCAAACAAAGAGCAAACACCAACAAATAGATTTTAGAAGATACAAAAGATAATCTATTACGATTCGAAATATTCATTCCATGATGACACAATTTGCATATTCAACCACTAAACATAGATGACAGCTTAAGTCAGATAAATATATAAAAAGAATACCTCACGCAATTATCAGTTCACATCATAAACTATCCAGGAATCTAAAGTCACACATGAACATGAAAGAATAAGAAAAGCTAAATTGATCCTTCAGCTTTCCAGACATGTGAATTCAATTCCGGGTATAGAAACAAGTAGAACTGACATAATATGCACTAAACAATAAATGAGACGGCATTAGAACATAAATACTATAAATCTCAGTATTTGTAAACAGAACCCATCAAAATTCTTCGAACAAAAGATATGAAATGCCAATATCAAACCTTGTCAATGCTTAGTTCCCAGTATTCTTTCTGCTCCAATGATGTTACCAGTTCATATAAAGCTTCATGAAAGGCTTGTGTTTCCTCCCCCAAAGGTCTTCTTGGCTGACAATGGGGGGGCTGAGCACTTGCAATTGTATCTTTTATTTTAGTTTGACCTGGAACACAGGATGGACAATACCAATTTCCTTCTGGAATCCGAGCAAGTGGAGGGTTTAAACAATAAGTGTGGTACTCAGAGTCACAAGCATCACACAAGAGTACGCTATCATCATCTTTATCAATTCCACAAACTTTACAGACTCCTTCTTCCCAAGGAGCTTTAGGTAATTCATTGGTATTGAAGAGTATGTCTTGCAATTCCTTTTGTGTTTCAGTGCTTTGTTCAGCAAAAGATCGGTCAGCAAACTTCTTCACTAGGTACAGCACCTGAGCTTAACCAAAAGCATAAATACAACAATGAATCAAAACGCGTTGATACCATTGGCAGTTCCGCCAGTGAAACTAATAAAAGCCATGAAATGAATCAAAATATGGTCAAATTCCATTTTCTTCGATGCTTCATCTATCTCACGCATAAGTGGACAAACACACATGTTAAAGCAAGGCCTTAACGATATCTTGAAAGATAAAAGCTAGACTCTGAAATCCTATTGCAGATATTTAAGGGCTGTTGCTTTCTATTTTAACGAGTGCTAATTAATAACCTAATTAGCTTTAGACATTCTGATGTAGGACTAGCATGTGAAGATTTGTATTATGAAATTAAAAATAAGTTAAATTTAAAATCAGCAAGCTATTAATCATGGGATGCTTAAAACAAGTTTCAAACAAATAAAAAAGGCAATTCACAAATAGCAATTTACCACAACCAAATTTCTGGAATTCAAGAAGGCTAAATCAAATAAACAACTTAACTAAGATGGGCTGGCAAAAAGATCCAACATTTAACATAGATCAGTCACTACGAGAACCATGCACTTGATGATTTAAGAAGCTAGCGCATTTAAATTAACATGAAAGTAGTAATGCCACAGAGAATTGGACTTCAAAGCTATCTACTTAAATGTATGAAGTAAGAGTAGAAAAACTTAGGTATTTACGTCGCTGGGAAGCTTCCTTCAGATGTGGTGGGGTTTCGGCCAATTGATCTTCAAATGGTTGCTCCGTAGTGCCTTCCGTGTGTCTTGCTTCACAATGAAGAAGAAGAGATGATGGCTGAAATTTGGGAGGGAAGCCATTGTTTTTGCTATTTGGGGGAGATTAGGAATGGTATGAAGTTAATTAGAGTGGTAGGGCTTAGGGGAATGGGAGAAGGGAGAGAGTGGGATTGGAAAATGGAAATTTTGTTTTGGGAAAGGGAAAAGATAAAGTTAACTTTGCAATTAATGGGTCAACTTCTCATTAATTAACTTGAAGAGTTCCAAGAGTGGGCCAATCATGGGTAAAGGGAAGAGGTGGTGGATTTTCCATTTCCCAACTAGTTTTGAGAATGAAAATAAGGAGAGGCAATTAATGGGTCAATGATGTAACACGTAATGCATGGAAACAAGAACTGCTTGGGGATTTTAATATAAGACTATTAAAACTTTGCGGGTTATAGAATTAATGCTTACCCAAGTTAGGCTTTCAGAATTATCAAATCAAAATTAAGTAAGGCATGCGGTTACAACTAGATTAATGGGACAATATCAAATTGACAACATAAGAATAGAGAGAGTAATGTTATGGAAAAAACAATAATCCACGGCTAACAAATAGAACTTTTCACCTTGGGTTCCTCACTCACGCTCTTAACGGTGGGGTTTTAACGGAGGAAGATTGAGAGCAAACCGAGCAATGCCACTAAGAGAAAAATGGTGCCCAAAGTCTAGTCCGTTGGGGAAGTAGCCGGTGACGGGGAATCCATGGGATGACTAGTGAGCATCTAACGTCCGGAAAGATTGTGCTCCTCGATGGAAGGTACACCAAAGAAATAGAAGATATGAAGCTTTGGCGTTGGCTGAAATTACTGGACAGCAGCTGTTCAGCACGGGATCTCCTTAGGGCAGCAATTGGGGCAGATTCTGGACAGCTAGACAGCAGACTAGCTTGCTTTGGACGTCAGGGCAGCAAGTTATTTTGCTCCGGGAAGCTTCTAGACAGGAAACTGGGCTGTTTCTGAAATCTGGACAGCAAATCCTAAAGCATGGTCAGCGGCTTGGGTTCCCTGGATGGCTGAACGGCAACAGAACCTCGGCTGGAGCCTTAGGATCACAAAAGAAAAAGCTGGGCAAGCAATTTCCAAGATTTGGAAATGAGGACAGCCACGGTAAAAGTCCAGAATTTTCTGGACAGCAAGGGGGCAGCCATGGTGGTTGAGGATTTGGTGAGATGCTTAGAAATCTGAAATTAGATTTCAAGTTAAGTGGAATTGGAGGGAAAAATCTGAGGTTTTAATTTCAGATTTTATTAAAAGGAAGGGGCCTACTCCGGCGAACTCACTAAGAGATCTTGGAGGGAGGAACTCACAAAGAGAACAAGTAGTAAATTTCATTTCATCAAAACTAACTATTACATAAGAAAAGGGTCATATGTAGGCCTCCAAATGACAAAGAAAACAAAAGACTAAAATGCCCCTTGGGCTACAATAGCGACCAGATACCCATAAGGGCAAAAGCGGAAAAACTGAAAAAATAAAAAATAAAATAAAATACTAAAAAAAATGACTCAAAATAAAACTCATGATCGTGGCCGTCGATCTCCGGCGTCTCCTAATGGTACATGTGTCGAAATCTTTGACGATGTCCTCATCAGTCAACTTCCCATTAATTAACATGAAGAGTTCCAAGAGTGGGCCAACCATGAGAAAAGGGAAGCGGTTGTGGCATTTCCAATTCCCAACTATTTTTGAAAATGAAAATAATCAGAGGCAACTAATTAACATGAAGAGTTCCAAGGGGCAAGTGAAGTCCAATTGGAATCCCAAAGGTCAAAATTTCATATTTGGGAAATGATGGACTGGGAACTTGGATGGGGAGGTGGCGGTGGTGGACTTGTCGTGGGCGGTGAAAGGGGAAGGGAGTTGACCGGCGGTTAGGGAGGAAGGAGGAGGGAAAGGGGAAGAGATACAAGGGGAGAACCAAGAACTCGCCTTAATGGGCTGTTGGGTACTTCATTCGCCTTCTCCTAAGGCTTCACCACTCCACCACACTCACTCTCACACAAGAGAAGAGAGCTAAAATCAAAATTCATTCAAACATAATCATCATCACCTTACAAGGGGGGAGAGCCATATATATAGGCTCCACCACATGACAAGACAAAAGACACAAATGCCTTTGGGCTTACAACATAACATTAAGGAAAAGTTCACAAATACCTTTGGGCCTACAACATAAGATTAAGGAAAAATTCACAAACTAAATTAAATCAAATAAAACACACATAACAATTAATAATATAATGACTCAATCGTTGTCACGACCCGGCCCAATGAACTCGTGTAGACGAGGCGGGAAAGGAATCAGACGTTCAGAACATAAACTTTTCTTAAAACAAGCATTGAATTAATCTAAAAGACTTCATAAGAAACTAAAAGCGGCTCTAAAAATTTTTCAAATATACAAAATATTTCATATCACTTCAAGAGAGGATTCACATGTACAAAGGTGGTTACAAAACTTAACATTTATGCTAAACCACCCAAAAAGGTGTAAACTACAACTAAGCAAAAATATAAAAAGAACCTGTCAGCCGGTCCTCTACGACTGTAGGTGAACCAAGGGTGGTCAGCCATTCTTTGCAGTTGTTTCTCCTAAAAAGTATCCCAACACGAGAGAGTGAGCTAACGCTCAATAGGAAAACTCTAACCCTAACATTTTCACATGACTTTTAAAATAAAAATTTACATATATGTTAGACGTGAAATGGCTTGATTGTTTTGCTACACATGATAGTTCATATGTCTTATGAATGTTAGATGTCTTATGTATGTCATATGCCTTATGCATGTCATGTGTCTTATGGATAGCATAGCTTATGTATGTCATATGCTTACTTATGTTTTATCTTACACAATCGTACCAAAGTACCAGGAGTGTACTGATCATGTACACAAACATCTTTTTGGCCATTCATTTCCTTTCCTCTTTTGCCCCAAAGGGTCATATTATTCCGTATTGTTCATAAGAGTCATATTTGTGCTTTCGCACCATATTTCGTACTCCGCCTTCAACATGCACAATCATTTACATAATCTTTTCATAGAAACATAGGTATGAAATGTAGCATTTTCATAAAAAATCATATACCTTGATCATGAAGTGCATGAAAGAAACTTCTATGAAATGGTTAGAATTTTAAACATCAACTATGCATTTGATATGTATCAAATCAACTAAAGATATATATTTGTTATGTATCAAAACAACTAAAAATATGCATTTGCTATGTATCAAATCAACTAAAGATATAAAACATAAAGGAACAATAAAATCATAAAGGAACATGAATATGTAAAATAAGATATTCCTACCTCAATTGCCATTTGAAAGTCTTCACTTCACCAACTTCTCTAATTCATCTTTTCAAAACCTAAGGGAAATATTACAGCATAAGCCTCTTATGTCAATTCAAATCACTATATCACACTAACCCTACACATGGCATAGCAAATTATTCCCCTTAAACTCATTATACTCATTCTTGGTGGGGGCAAGAAATATAGAGGAGCCTATACTCCTCGCCCGCACAAATGATTGACCCTTAACCGACGACCCACTAAATCACGAAAGATGGGACTAAGATGAGGAAGAACAAAATCTTACATTTCAAATATAAGACCGACTTAGAAATTAAAAAACAAACAAAAATTACAACGACTTACAAACTCGGCTCGAAATTAAAAGACATCCTAAAGTTGCTTCACTTATAGAAGAGGGATACAGGTGGAGTGGCACTTGCGGAGAGACGAAAGAGGTTAGAAGCTAAGACGAAAGGTTGGAAAGAGCTCGCAAGATTTCCGGAAGGGGATGAGAAAGAAGACGGACAAAGCTCGCAAGCTTTTCCATGAAACCCGCAGGTTTACATTTTCAAAAATCACATATCATTCAACTTTTTAAAACATAACAATCCCCTCATATTTATAGGTATGAAAGGGGGAATACAAACAGACACAACATTTAATTCCCATAGGAATCCCAAACATCACAAGCCATAAAAAGCCCTTGCTTTTCACGAAAAAACAACCCAGCCCACAAACCGAAGGAGCCACCACAGGAACCAAGGAGGCCGCACGGAACCAAGGCGCCAAAGCCACAGGAAAACTCCCAGGCTCGGAAAACCAGCAGTCGGCCGGAAATCCAAGGGGCAAAGGCACAAAAAACAATAGCCCATGGTAGAAGCCAAGGAGCCACACATGGGAAACAACACTTCTTGGAATTCCAAAA